GGGGCCGGAGCTGATCGTATCTCGAAAATTTCGTAAGTAGGGGCATTTGTAAGTAGAGGTACCACTGTATTTCCAAACCATCAGAATGAAGATTAGGATCATGATTGCAACTTTGATTGCAGGGCATCATGAATAGGTTTGACCAAGTAAGAAAGTTCCTAAACTTGCATGCTCAATATTAGATTTACTTTGACTTTCCAAAGGACAGGACAGGTTGGTTTCAACTAAACTAGAATCCTAGGACTTGCATCTAGTTCCTGTTATTTAAATTCCTGCTTTATTTTTTATTATATCTAAGTAGTGCGGACTCTGAGAGAGTTTAGTTTCAGACCATTGCATCTTTTTCATAAAAAAAATTGTTTATACTTCTTTGTGAATAGTAAACTTTATAACCTTGCTTTTTTCTCCAAATGATGAAGCCTGGTTAAGATGATGATAATAGATTTATATCTGCAAACAACCTCAGATACAAACATAGATGAAAGGAAACTAGAAAAATAACATCAGCATTTGATGTTTAATTTATTTAAACAGTTACTTTTAACAGGCAAGTGAAGCCAGCGTCTAAATAATTTATAAACGTTTGGCTATTTCTCACAAATATATTATTTTGACTTCTTTATTTCTGAAGCTTAGAATCATAGAAGGGTTGGAAGGTTTTTAGAGAGCATCCCCAAGGCCATCCATCTATTGTTTCAACACCTCCAGGACAGGATACTCCACCACCTCCTAAGTCAGTCTGTTCCATTGCTGACCAGTTTTTACCATTAGGAAAATTTTCCCAATGTCCAACTGAATTCTTGTTCCTTGTAATTTAAAGTTTCTGTTTCAAATTCTGTCTTCTGGAGCAACTGAACAATTCTGCCTCATCTTTTCTGTGCTATCCCTTCAGCATGAATATAACCTTTAATTTAAGAAAAAGTAATGATTATTCATACAGTTTATTTTCCTCCATTTTTTAATGTTTGTTATATTGTACTCCCATATAAATCACGTCAGCAGTTGTTTTGCAAAACTAAGCTGAGAGATTCTATATAGTTCAGCGGGAATAATACCAAATTTTAATCCAAGAAAAATTCGCTTGTTTCCCTGGGTATACTGTTTTGGCAAGAATCTCTCACATAGTTTGGATGATAATTATTTATCTTTAAAAGTTTCCCTTGGGTTCCCTAAACTTGTGATTTCCAGATGCACTGGATCTACAGCAGTGTTTTTCAACATTGGCAACTTGAAGATGGAGGGACTTCAACTCCCAGAATTTCCCAGCCAGCAGGGGAATTCCCCAGGCTGGCTGGGGAATTCTGGGAGTTGAAGTCCACACATCTTCAAGTTGTCAAAGTTGACAAACATTGGTCTACAATGTCCACCATTCCCTGCATCTCAAGGGGATCAGGGTGTGAAAATTGGTCTACTGGGTGTGCTGAACGAACTTCTGCCTTTCCCTTTAGGGCAGGGAGGGGCATTCAAAGGGAGGGGCCACAAAAGAGGTGGGGCTGCATCACATATGTGGACAGCACTAGAATTGGAGAAATGTTGTGGGCTCACTCTTAATTGTGATAGGCCTACTTCAAGTTGTACAGTTTTTATCTATTCCTTATAGGTAGGAACCAGAGCCGTCACAGGGGGAGAGGTCCATAAAATCAATACAGTGGCTGCAATGGCATAATGGAAGCCCCACCCTTGTTTTACATGCATCACACATGTAAAGAGGGCAGGGCTTCAATCCTGCCCTTTTTACTTTTTTGACTTGTTAAGAACTTTGCCATCAGTTTTCAATAGTCACGGTAAAGGGGACTCTGAAGGCCACAAAAAGACAAGGGGGGATTTATTTATTCCCACCTAATGTCCTTCCATTATAGTAAATGCCCAGAACTCTCCAGAGTGGCTTCCCATCTCACCACTTGCCCTCTAAGCATTGCTCTTCACTCTGAGTTCTCAACCTAAGGCCCACGGTTGTTAGTGTATCTGTCAACACCTTTCTTGACTTTTTAATTTAAAAAGTGAATAGAAAACTAGTATGCTTCAGAGCAAAGCACCAACTTCAAGCATCATACCTTCCTGCTGTAGAAAACTGCCCAAGAAACGCCATCAACTGGTGAGGATCCAAGGATTGTTTTATTATTTCAAAGCTAGTAAGTTACAGGGAGTCACTGGTCTCTTGCATGCAGCTGGATCAAGGAAAGAGCTATATAGATCTTATGTAGAATGTTGATCAAAAGGAGTTGAAACACGCAAGTATCTAGAGAGACCCCAGCTACAAAGGAAAACTTTCTTACGACTGATAAGGATGCAAAGTAACAAGAAGGCAGACATTTCCAACAATGTTCCTGGACTCCACGTAGTCCCCAAAGGAATTCTTAAAAATTGGTGAGTTGTCACAACTTTGTTGGAAGTGGAATCACTTATTCAGACAAAAGAGAAACAGAAAGATAAGCTAAGGTCGTAAAGAACATGTGGGAAACTATAAGCAATGGGGGGGCAACTTCACTGCTTTTGTCTTCTGATATTTTATGATTATTCGTGGCCATCACAGCAGCCATTTTGTAACCGTATCCACAACACGCTCTCAAAATTTGAGATATGTCCATTAGAACAAAAAGATTGGAGACTCTTGCTCTCTCCCTGACCGTCTGCCCAGGCAACTGTCTTGGCCAGGTTGCAATGTGGCCAAGGATCAAGGATCTCTTAGAGCAGTGTTTCTCAACCTCAGCAACTTTAAGACGTGTGGACTTCAACTCCCAGGATTCCCCC